TGCAAATATTTTTTATATCGACCATAGAACTAACCATTGATATTGCAGTATCACATCCATTGAAAACCTGCGCCACTCGCCAGTGTACCACGAATATCCACGTAAGTTTCCACAAATATACATATATAGCATCGAAATCACATGCTTATGTCAAACGAAGATTAAAGCTACACGCGTGACTGTGAAGCTCAGTAAGAATAGCGTCCATACATCAGTTCCTGACATCGAGATGCTCTTATGTCTATTATAGACCTGCATGCAGAGAACAATAAGCGTGCTTGCTGCTTTATTTCCATCGGATGATAGAATGAAAGTGTTCGTAGGTTCTTTAAGAGTTATTTCCTGCAGCGTTTATAGCTTTTTTGGACATTTGTATAGCAAAGACGCCAAACATTTTCGACATCTTTTAACCGCCAGTCCACCAGAAATAGAGGGCATTTAAAGTTAAAAATAATTGCGCACTTTACATCTACGAACAGTTCATCTATTGATTTGATGTTGAACACTTAATAAATAATAGACCCTTTGCGTTCAGTTCATCTATTGAATTGATGTCGAACATTCAATAAACTATTGACCATTTACATTCAGTTCATCTATTGAATTTATGTCAACAACACACTAAGTATATATTATAATCTTTCCATTTATACATTGTACAGAATTTCTCGTGTCTTGACTCTGCAGGCGTTTCACTTATCAGATCGGTATAGGCATGAGTTTTCTTTCTGAACTCAAGGAGTTTCGAGCGTTTATTGAAACCTTACAGCCAAGCAATGCAAATAATAGACTCTAAAGCTTCAACTAGCATTAAAAATATATTCATTAAAGCTCTAGAGAGATGGTAACAGATTGACAGGAAGACAGCGGACTTCATGTACAGCTTTATTTGCTAGCTTCGAGACGCTTGCAAGGGACGTATATATATACTTGAACCCCGGTGATTTGTCTCTATAAGGGCTTATACACTTTATTGGAGAATATAGACAATGCGGTGCACACAATCTAAGGATAATAAAGGATGGAACCTCAGAAAAAACATCTGATATCATTTTTCATTATATCATTTAATGAGAGGTAATTTATCATAAATAATTATGACTTGATGGAGACGGAAATTCAGGTCTACATATAATGTTAGAAGAGCCACGCTATGCTAAACACTCATATTAATAAGAAACAATGAACAGATGAGAAAAAATATAGCAATAAGATTGAAGCTTTACTCTAAAACGCAAAATTTCAAGACATTTAGATAGGAAACACATTATTTTATTAATTCATTTCACGTTAATCCTGATAACGGAAATATTGATCGTAATGGCCCATCGGGGTACTCAACTATATGTCCACAAAAATATTTTTGTATTAATGATAGAATATAGCAAGAATTTTTCAGAATAAAATGAATTTCACTATTATAGATTGAGCATTGTTTTGTGTGTAAACTTGGTCCGGTATGAAGTTTATGCGCACATATTTCCTAGTTCAACTTGCTAATTAAAATAGAGATTGATGACATGCTAAACTCAGAAGTAGTGAAGATTGAATGATGAAATGGCAAATTTTCCAAGCAAATATTGGAAAAGAATACGAGTCACAGTAAATGAAAGTTGATTAAAATTTACGGTAAATCAAATCTATGTGTTGAAAACTGAATCGCTCAGAAACCAAGTTTGCCAAGGCGACGGTCGGTCAAGAAAATGATGAACGGCTGTCGGTATATTTGCTCCAGGCAGTAAGAGTATCAGAGGTTGAGCTGCTCTACCGGCAAATGAGATTTAAGAGCTCGATTTACTTCTAGGAGATGAACAGTGTGAGCAGATGAGCAGGGAATGGGACAGTGTGAGCAGCTGAGCAGGGAATGAGGCAGTATGAGCAGCTGAGCAGGGAATGAGGCAGTATGAGCAGCTGAGCAGGAGATGGAAAGTATGAGCAGATGAGCAGAAAATGACGCTGGGTTATTTGAACGAGATACAAAATACGACCGCGTTAGAAGCTCTAAGTGCAGCGTTAAGGAAAAGCTTTGCTTAGTAGCATCTAGGTTAGTATTTAATTCAAAAATATAGCAACAAGGTTATAGAACTTAATTCGAAAATATAGCGGCAAGGTAGGGACTTAATTCGAAAATGTATCAACAAGGTTAGGGCTTGATTCGAAAATATAGCAACAAGGTAGGACTTATTTCGAAATTATAGCAAAAAGGTTAAGACTTAATTCGAAAATATAGCTAAAATTTATCATTTTTATTTATTTTATTATTATGCTCATATTTTCGTATTTTTACGAGAGTTTAAGTTTACCTGCTCTGAAATCGTTGTTGTTCCTACACAGGTTGTTTAAATATCGTAAGATTATTCACAGTGCTGACCGTGACAGAACAAAGTTGTGCATTGTGATGAAATGAAATGTTATAGTAACAAAAAATACAATGATTTAATATGGAATTATAGGAGATGATTGATTTATCTGTAAATAGTTTTTAATATTGAAAGCAAATATAAACGACAAGTAGAAAGTAGATACAAATAAAAATCATACCAGCTATTTTGAGCAGAGCAATTGTCGCTAAAGAATGGTTTCGGTTTCTGTAGAAGACTCGGAAGCAAAGTTCTACGACATACGGAGTTATAGATTTGCATTTACATTATTATAATACAAGTATTTATTAATTTTTGTGGACAGCATAATTATAATGGAAGAACATATCAGATTTGCGCGTGAAGCAACTCAGCTTACAGATCCTGTGTGTTTAATCAACACAAAACAGAGATCCATTAAGAATAGTCCAAACAACAGCAACACATGTAAATAGATATATTGCCATTGATAGGTACAATCTATCATATAAATGAAGATACGTGTATAAACCTTATTATATTAATGATAATTCCACCACTCCAGAGCCTTCACTGGTTAGGGAATCTCATTTAGGTTTACTCGTTCACTGTATTTTGGAGGCGATGAAACTTCTCTTTAATTCGTAGTTATTGCAAAAGAAGGCAGAAATTTTGTGAACACATATTGTTGACATCATTTGTTGTTCGTTGTTCTAATTGTTATCGATAGTAAAATATAAATTTCGTATACAGGACTTTCGAGTGCTAAAAAATTGTTAACACTTTGCGAACAGATATTTCGTAGAAACGACTAGTATTTAGAAAACAATAGAATCTGTTAAAGTGGTAAGATATAAAATCTTTTATAGTTCGCAATAGTAGATTTAAAATCTACTGCTGCACATACAGATACTTTGACTTAGAGCTGTTGATATCCATGACAATAAATGGATAACAGATTTCAGCTTCAACATCGCAGGTCTAAGCAGTATTTACATATTGTTTACAATTACATACAATTGTATTCATGAATAAGCAACATCGCTATACACATCGCTAAACATTATCACATGTTGGTGCGGTGTTGGCATTTGGTGCGGTGACATCGATCACACTTCCTCTATATAAAATTATTTCATAATGTGCTCTCCTTATAAATTAGTTTCTTATTATTTATTACGCTTCAGCATTGACAATGATTAAAGAAGTGCCCGGGTGTGCTTTTACAGTACACTCCAAAATTGGGAATGTAAAAATCGTTTCTAATTATGCATGTGTAGGAGTTTATTAAAATAATAAGTTAACTCAAACAGCACGGGAGAAAATTCTGAGTTTTCCATTTTAGTTTCCACGTCAGAAAAGTTAGTTTCGGTATAGTTTCCAGACTTTTAATTTTGATGAGGCTGGGGCTTGCGAATATTACAAATCATGAAAATATAAAGCGAGACGCGTGCTCCGTACAGCTGCAGTAACACTATATTCAATGGAGTGCAAGCTAAGCACTTACACGTAACGTGTACTTAATGTGACCAGCAACATCTTCGGTGCTTAGTTAACGTAATTATTTAGTTCTAAGTTTAGTTTTAGTGAGTTAACGTAATTATTTCATTCTTCACTCATTTACTTCTTTATTAATATTCATGCTTTCTAAAATAGTTAATTAATTTAACAACAAGTTTAAATAATACATATTCATTAAATAATATACAATATATAATATATGTTGTGACAATATACTCAGTATTTTAGCCTGACTCATATAATCTTAATATATGGTCTTGGAAAGTTTAATTGCATTCGATATCACCTAAAAAATTTTCGTCGCCAATAAAGCACTGAAATTTTCTGAAGAAGAAAACTAAGCAATACACACCTACAATCTACTTAGTTTTATTAAAGTTGTTCTGAAGTTTTATAGAGCTATGGAGTTATATTAGCTAATATTATTTAATTGAATATGACATGATTTTTCATTTTTGTACTCAACGAATAAACTACCGGATAGATATGGTAAGAACGCAGTTTTTGTGCTTGAGTAAAACAAGTGGAAAAAAATTTTTTGTTACTGCTTTTAATTCTTATCCATGATAAATCTGAAAAGCACAGGTAGTTGAAGATATCCTTGAGTATAACCGAAAAAAATCCTCGATAATCGCTAAGAAAATTCACCGGACTGCACGAGTTTATGCGAAGTTAGAAAAAACTTCTTTACTCTCGTGTGGCAAGACCGTGCTTTCTCTGATATTTTTGAAAAATTCGGCGAGAAACAACTTTAGTTTGAAAACAAGTTGAAGTTAATGTAGTTAACTAATTAACTTGGTTAAAGTTGAATATAAATCAATCATTAATATTTTGTGTACAGTCTGACAAACTCTCCACATTTCTCCGACATATTATGCATGTACATACATTGACAACTCTACTAGCCTATTGAATTATAAGTTGATTGTGCGACATGCACCCTTTGAATCTAGCAGTGCCAGACGAAAAGATATTATCCTCAAAAGCGAAACCACATCATGCCAGCTTTTCCTGATTCCGAATTACATTTCTAGACACTGCAACAAAGTTTTACTGTCTAAGCTGGTAACCATGACGCGATTGCAAGTGAGCGAGAGCCACCTAATGCTGTAGGTTTGAGAGAAGCTTTAGCTTAAACCTTCAAAGGATCCAGCACGGAGGCCAGAAGTTCGAGGCTTTCACAGTTAATGCTTTAGCGGAGGTTTTAGTTCCTTGAGCCTCCAGGGACCTGCCCAAGTACCTGACAAATCGAAGTGTTGAGTGTTGCACCTAAGAACGTGGGAATAGTGTTGATTGTGAACAATAAATCATGTAAAGTAGATGCTAGTAAAATTCTACATGAATAAGATTGATAAAAATGGCGCAACAATGAACATGACCATCATTATTAAATAGCATCAACAGGAACAGACCAAATTTGTTCTAGTTTGGCAACGAGAACGTCTGCAGGTGTTGAAAACGTGGCGATTGCCTTTCCGTTTTCTTAAAATTATCGTTGAAGGAATACATAAGCGAGAAGTCGAACTAATATGGGCGTAGGGCCAGACTAAAACGAAGAATGAATGATACATGAAGAATCACGGTTTCAATAATCACAAAAATACGATTAATAATTATTATGGAAGAAGTTTTAAATTAGAATTAAAATGTCTGCGTTAATTACTCGTGATTCTCCAGTAAATTAATTTATTCTTGCTCGACTAGTACTAATTGCGTCTCAACCTATTAATGAAATGATTGGAGATTGTTACCACAGATGTGTGGAATATTTTAAGAAAAACAAATTAGAACCACTTTGTATGCAGTAAAGGGTATAAGCTTTCGGAAAACACAACAACCATTGAGTTATTGTTTTTGCTCAACACGCTTTTGAAAAATTTAATGAACTCCTAGTGCAAATCTGGGGTTTTCTTTTGAGTTAGAATGTACTTAGAGAAAGAAACGGTTCATGGTGATTGATTGTTTGTATAATTTTTAATAGTTGATGCCATATAAATTATAGTCCGCGTTTATCCACGTAGCCTACAAGCTCGTGCAGTTTTATCTTCAAATTTGCTTAAATCGCAAGTTAACCAGGAATTAATTTTGTTGATTAGTGACTGTAGCCTCCCTGATAGACTTATACCGCTTTAATGTAAGGCAACCGTAAATGCAGTATGTGATAATCAATCGTAATTAATGAACTTCATAAACATAGATATAAACTCTGGAAAGTGATGCAAAATTAAAATAGAAACCATAAATTTTTTCGCACTTGCAGAAGTCTTCGTAATCTTCTACATTGCATACAGTTTGAAGTCAATTAAATAGATAGAACCCAGAAATTGTCCAATAAACTCACCATTGCTTCACAAACAATAGGACAATACAAGCTGAATATTCATTGGTAATGTCACTGCTCAAAATAACGCGTACTTTTTTTGCCTGAAGTACACAGAATGTCAACATAGATTTTGACAGTAATTGTCTATTGTGGCAAAGGCAGTTCTCGTTACTAAGGCCTTCCTCGTGTTGACATAGGCCTTCTTCTGCACAAAGTTCCAGATTTAGATCGCCGCCACTGACAAGCCTAGACCGATAATATTTTCTGCAGAAATGCCAGTCATGTTAGGCAATATTAGCAGCAGAAATGTTTGTAATGCTCGGCTAAATTTACTCCAGAAATGATAGTTTTGTTCGTTAATATTAACGGTAACAATGACGGTTCATTTCGGTAATGCAAACAGCAGAAATGCGAGGTTTGCTACATAATGTAATTGCTGGACAATATTAAATGCATTAGCTAGTTTTGCTCGGCAATGTTAACAGCGGAAAAATTAAATTTACTAATCAATAATGAGGACAGAAACATAATGAGTGCCAATAATGAGGTCAGAAAAATAATGAGTGAAAATAATGAGGACAGAAACATAATGAGTGCCAATAATGAGGACAGAAACATAATGAGTGCCAATAATGAGGACAGAAACATAATGAGTGCCAATAATGAGGTCAGAAACAATAATGAGGGCCTCTACACTACCAGCAGTAGCAAAATTAGTTCTCCTCGGCAATATTAGCAGCAAGAATGATAGTTCTGCCCGGCAATATTAGCTTTGGAACTGCTGCGAAAATATTATAAGACAAAGGAGGCCCCTGTCGCCTCAGGGATTCGCGTGATTGTTAAGGAGCCTATAGTTCGTAGTTTCCGGAGCAAAATTTCTTCATATGCTCAAGAACCTTCAGGAATTCCTTATTTGTGGACTGTTTCATTTGTGCCGTATCCGCATTTGAGCATCAGATTTAAATGTTTGGTATCGATGATTGGGGCTTACCGTTTACAAAATTGTGTGTTCATAATATATTTTTATTAATTTGTCTTGTAGTGTCATTCACTGCTAAGAAATGCTGTAAAATATGACTACATTTATAGTGTATTATAAGAAGAAAAATTAGTACGCTATTTCGTCTATATAGCGATGCCTATTTTGCACTTGTATGGGAAATTCTAACCCAGCTAAGTTAGTCAGTCAGTTCACTACCTAAAGTGAAAAGGAAGTATGCCGCTATTTGAAGAACATAACCTGTTCATTTTTCGTAGCGTGAAATTGGCTTACCGGGACTGGACAGTTAAACTTCATGTACAATTATCGAAAATGATCATATATATGATAAGTTAAGTAGTTCATCAGAATAAATATGTTCGCAGCCGAGGTAGACAAAAACAAGAGGACGTGAGAGGTGACGTGTGAGGCTGTAGACCTGATGGCGTTAGGTACGTTGTCTGTCACCTCGGCCAAGACGAAGAGAGACAGACCGACGTGGTGGTGAATGTCCTCGTCTCTGTCGTTTATTTGCCTCGCGATGGCCGAGGCTGGCGGCTCGCATTTTTTCTGGTAAAATGAAAAATACCTCGTGAATTTTTGTTAATACATTTTATTATAGAAATAAAAAAAAGCGCTTTTTTATTTTGAGTAGGCCAATTTTTGACAGGAAACGTTAGTGCGCTTGTTTGAAAAACTATAAAATTCTTGATGTTTTACAAATGAGCAAAAGTATTTATTTGGCCGTTAACCAGTTCAAACCTAATCGCTTTCTAGTAAAATATAGTCCAATAAAATTCAGACTGGAGACTTCAAGGTATTAATGATTTGTTGTGAAGTTTATCGCTGTTCAGAAAAATTATTATATTGATAAGAAATAACATAAAAATATTTTTTGAGAAACTGATAAAATACACTTACATTTAAACATACAACAAAAATACAGACTAGCTATCAGAAATGAACTGATTTACTATGATAAATAAGTCTGGCGTCACAGCACTCACATAAATGAATGGCTCACATGAATGTCTAAATAGTGACACACTTCCTGCAAGCAGCACTGACACGCCTCCTTGCCGGGCCAAAGTGGGTCAGGATGATCTACCCAAGGGTTAAAAGTTCATCGCTATTTGGACAAAGTCTCATTCATTTCTCTGAGAGCCGCGTATGGCGCACTGCAGTGCAGGGTAGCTGGATGTTGGGAAGGAAATACGGCCAAAACCGCTCACAAAAAAGGCCAAAACTGGCTACAATTTATGATTCATTAATAAATGTGTTATTTGCGATGTAACAATTCAATTTTTAGGCTTGTTTTATACCTCTAAAAACAAAAAGATTAAGAGCATTATAGATTTTGCGTGCCAACTGGATGTAAAAAGGCTCATTTCGTCGAATTTTGCCGGAAAAAGACCACCATTTGGCCTCTATGCCGGGCACTGAGCAAACTCTGACCATAAAACAGACTAGGATCTTAAACAAGGACAAAAAATTGCATTGCCCTTGAAAAAAAAAAACATTATTGGTATAAAAATAAAGTCTCATTATCTACCCTGATATACTCGAATAGTAACCGACACTGTATAGTGTCGTACGGTACCCCGTATAGTACCCGACACTCTAGTGTCGTATAGCACCCCGTATAGTATTCAACACAATAGCATCGTATAGTTCCCAGTAATGATACCCGACACTGTATAACGTCGTATAATGCCCGGTATGGTACCCGACACAATAGTGTCGTACAGTTTAACGTACGGCACCCGACATTTTAAAGCGCTGCATAGTACCCCGTACAGTACCCGACACTGTAAAGCGTTGTATATTACCCCGTATAGTACCTGACACTGTAAAGCGTTGTATAGTACCCTGTAAAGTACCCAACTCTGTAAAACGTTATATAGTGACCCGTATAGTACCCGACACAATAGTGTCGTACAGGTTCCCGTATAGTACTGACACAGTAAAACGTATAGTACCCGTATAGCTCCCGACACGCTATAACGTATAGTACCCCGTATAGTACCCGACACAGTATAACTTAAAGTACTATAGCACGCACTAACCCGTTCTTGCTGCAGCATGAGCAGCGTGTAGGTCTCGTTGGGGGGGTTACGAGAGTACAGTCGCAGGTGTCGCACCTGCAGCACCAGGTTGTCCGACGTGTTCGCGTACAGTTCCAGGAAACACTCATCCTGCCAACAAAAAAATGCAACCCTGGCTTAATGAAGTGATTTAAATTAATTGTATGCCAAAAGATTTATATTCGACTGGAGAAATAAATAACTTGAGAAGATAAATAGAATTTAAGACATGGTAGCTTTCATTAACGACATATAAAACTAAAATTACATGAGAATATTATTAAAATTTAAAACAACCTAGGCTTAATAGTGACTGGAGAACTAAATAACTTGGAAAGGAAATGAAATATGAAAATGTTCCGCGAGTATAAGGGACAGATTAGATAAAAGTGAGCGAATCACAGTAATGAGTAATGTGAAAATTAAACGCAGTTTATTTCAATTACGACGGTGAAAATAGCTTTGATGCTTCGCAGTTATGTGATGAAGTAGGTATGTGATACCAACTGTCATGTAACTTTTCATTCGAAAAGCAAAACTAACAAGTAGTGAAGAATTTATTTAGCTAAGCCATTAAGGATTCCAACTGCCATGTACAGGGCGATTCACGGAAACTTCCTATTTTGTATTCCACGCCTAGCAGCCAGATGTAAGAAAAAGATAGAGGAGTATTTCATATGAAGGGCAAGGTCATGAAGTTATTGTGTCGTGTCCTACCTAGTCAGTTGCCACTATGCATTGGACAAGAGAGCAGCGTGTATTTGCTGTCAAGGCGTACTTTTCTAATGGCCGTTCCATTATCGCTACTCAACGAGCATGCCGCACACGGTTCAGTTTTCAACCTTTAGGTTGTGTTCCTGATCGGCTCCGATCCTGATCGGGTTCTGATTTGACTCCTTGTTATTTTTCATGGGGTTATCTTAAATCAAATAATATCTACAATGACTGTCACAGGACCCTACCTCATTTGAAGAACAGCATTTGCTAAGCCATCGCCAACATATCCGTCAATATGTTTCATCGAGTTGAAAGGAAATTAAAAAATCGATTAACTGAATGCATTGAATATTGGGCCGTCTTTGGTCGGACGTCATCTTTAAAACTAAATGATGCAAAAATGTAGGTCATTTACTTTTCAATATAATTCATTTAGTAATGATATATTTAATAGTTCTTTTTCTATTGAGCTTTAAAATCAAGAAGTTTCCGTGAATCACTCTGCAGTTGTTACCGCAATGTAGAAATTGAGTATCTAAGCCATCAAGTAACTTATTCTAAGCATTATTAAGACAACTTTACACACAAAATTATAGCATATACAAAATTTTACACACAAAATTGTAGCATTATACAAAATTTTACACACAAAATTATAGCATTGTACAAAACTTTGCACACAAAATTGTTAGTTACATAAAACTAAGCGGCAATAATATCCGTTAAGCAGTTAATGCGTGACTCACGCCCATGGCTCGGGAGGTGGTGCGCAGGAGCTCCCTGAGGTCCTGCAGGGCATCGATGGCGCCCTCCTGCGTGACGTTCCTGAGCAGCGCCTCCTCCTCCCGGCTGAACCCCAGCAGCAGGAACAGCCCCGGGGGCAGCGAGTACTCCTCTGGCCGAAAGATACGAGGACTTTAGGACGTAGTGAATAAAAGAATATTAAGGACGTGACAAATGAAACAATATGGCGGTATTACACGAGGATGACTTTAGGACGTGACAAATGAAACAATATTGCTGTGTCAAAAGAAATGACTTTAGGACATGGCGGACGCGCAATGTTGCTTCGTCATGGCGGCAGCGAGTGATCCTCTGCGTACGCAAATGCCCCTATTAATTTTGAATTCACTAACTTCTGGGATTATATTGAACTCTATGATCCATGTACATTTTTATTGCACAATCCAGAAGCGCTTAGAATATTATTCAATTGGGAGATTTATGCATTGTAATGCTGGTTATATCACTGATTCCCAAGTGACACTTACGTAGCTCTGCATAATTAATTCGGGCTATAAAGTAAATCAAGAAATGCATATTTTTGTCCTGCTTTCTCATTCAACCCAATCGTGGCTTGTATTCTAACTAATCAGACGGCAGAAATCGGTCCATAAATTTCTTTGAAACACCTAAAATTTCTATACTCTAATTTAAAAAACAATTTTCAGTAAATTCAGAGTGTATATTTTATATACGCTTAGAAAACTCGAGCGGCTTGCGTGTAAAGAGTCATTATGGCAGACTGGCAGACTCATTTCTACCATTGTAGCGAAGAAGTAAGTCATTGTATTTCCTGCGAAAGAAATAACTTTTTACCACTTTACTTATCTCACCTCTACCAGCAACAATGATACGTATAGTCTCCTATTTAATACTCGGACGTCTTCATGCTGCCTCCTGGTTCTATTATCCTATGCAATCGTTTTAAAATAATTAATTATTGTACGTCAACTCTTATTCAATATTATTGTACCGTGTGTATAAATAAGTGAATTTCGTGCACAAAAAAGAAGCGCTGTAGCTCCTCCGTGTGCAAGAAATCGAATAAAAAACTTGGTGCTGCCGTAGAGCGATGGCCGCTTGGAGCGTGCCGCGAGTGCTGAAAAAAGCCACAGGGACAGAGGAAACAAAAATGGTGAGCCTGATAATATAATGAAGACCCAGCTCACAACTGGAGCCCAGATGATGGCAAGTGACCAGCTGCTAACGAAAGACCAGCTTGTCTCTAGAGCCCAAGCCATCCAGTCTTCCAAGCAACTCTGTAACCGCAACTCAGTTGCACTTTCATGTATCATTTTTTAAACCCTGTGCAATTCAGGTACCCAGAATATGCACTGGAGATTACGTTTGCCACCATACATCGTGCCTGCGCTGGGATGGGAAAGGAAGGGGAGGGTTCTTACAATCTCGTCGTCTCCATTTCCAAGTTGTAATTTTCGTTTTACAGTCTACCTTTTAGGTGCTTATACACGGGGCTGTTTGCCCCGTGCAGCCATGCAAATATACGAGTATAAATCCAGTCAGCATTCTTTTATTGAAATTTATACGTCAAGGCCGTCTCAATTTACAAATTTTGTACCTTTGTGCATTAAGATTCTTGTACACTTTTGTGCATTAAGATTCTTGGAAATTCTGATTATTGTGCATTTATTTGTTTGCTCTCAAGACTAGACTGGGTCTTCGTTCTGATCTCACTTGATGCTCATATTGAGGACAACCAAAACCCTCGAAGAAGATTGCAGTTTCTATTACATGTTAACAAAATTCGATCAAGAAAGTATTGATTTCTTAATCCAAGTCATTTTCGCCGAGTTACATTAACATTGTATTTTTCGATTGCTTCGCTCGATGAATAAACATACCGTATAAGCCATAAACACTCATACAATACGTAACAACATTATGATACATTACTTTAATACATTATAATACATTACAACATTGTAATACTCTATTATAAAATTATAATAGAGTAAAATTATGGCAACTAACCCGGCGGAGGCCGCATGCAAATGAAGTCGCCGGAGTAGCAGACGCAGCGGCCGCGGTAGGCTTGGAAGGCCGGCGCGTTGTGGTGGAACAGCGCGAACTTGGCCTCGCAGGGCCGCTCCTCTACGCACTTCAAAACCTGACCCCACACCGAGAAAACATAAATGGCTTTATGTGTTTTTGGGATTATAATATAGAAAAAGGTTAACCAATTGTTGCAATTCATTGAAATTAACATAGGAAGGAACACAAGAGTGGGTGATCCCAACGTGTTCAGAGAAAATAGAATAAATATCTTTGGAAATGGAGAAAAGAGTTACGTTATATGGCCATAATGAACATTGGCTGATGAAAACCTGCAAGAAATTCATATTTAAATGGGTTTGTTGAGAGCCTCACATGGATATGGGTTATTAACGACATCGAGAAAACTTTATTTATGGGTTAATAAAAAAAGAGGGTTACTTGAAAAGCGAAAGAACGAATTAAAATTAATTTCTCACCCATTTATATAGATTGGGTTATTAAGGAAGGAAAAAGGAAGATGTCAGCTCACCGTGCAGAGCGTCTTGAGTCCGTAGTCGCAGGAGCAGAGCTCTGAGCAGTCCTTGTTGCCGTCCGGGTACAGCTGTGGTGAACAAAACATGTCATGCACGCTCATTGTCCATTAATGATGAAGAGATGATGATGATGATGAATAAGGCGAGTGAGAATAATGGTATTTCGGTGACGAGATGGGTGTAATTGACCACTGGAAGAATTATTATCGATTTAGAATTATTATACGACGTGAATTGATTGTGCAATTTCAAAAGAAGAGTATTTAAAACTGAGAATGATTAGATTTATTCAAAATCGATAACGGTTATTCGACATTGTGAATGAATATAAAAAATCCTGAATAAACATTCAAAGTCTGCACTGATCATTCGACTTCAAGAATGGTTGTTCGATAAAACGAGAGTTGACATCAACTTTAAATGAAGACGTAAATATTCAATAACTCTACAAATTTATATGAAACTCAAGTTACTCACCCTGATGCTTTTGCCTTCTTCAAGGATGTGGCTTCTAGAATCACGATCCACTTGGCAATATTCTGTATAATAATTAGTGTTTAGTTAATTACTTCATCCGAAAACGAACCACACACATATCGTTTATTATTTATTCTGAACAATACCACGTATATGAGTTATTAACAATACACATATTTACATTAAACGTAACATAAAACATATATCAGTTATTACATAATGTGAACAATATATTGTATATCAATCGTTAATCGATCTTAAAAGTAATACTATATCATTCATCACTTTAGTCTGAGCAACTAAAAGTATATCATATAATACTTAATATGAAAAAACACGTATCTTATTTATAACTTCTTAGTTCGCTGTCAAATGTGGACCTATGTACATTAAAATTTTTGTCTACTTCAATTCCTGATAACATCCGGGCCAGTATATCTACTCGGGCAATATTAAGAATTGAAGTAAATTGCTGCTGATTTTACATATATGAAAAAAAATGAGGATATTCTATTGAAGTTTCATTATCGATCAACACGTAACAAAACTCAGCGGCATTTGACTGCCATGTTTAAATACACAGTGACTATGGAAGCATTATAAATTCAAACTTACGGAACTAATGTGTAATTCAACGAGTTTTTAACAATAAAAGTCGATGAATAGACCGTGAAAATTAGTTTTTTCATTCGAATCGGTGACATAGATTTATTATTTTCAACCAAACCAAAGGGTAAAATAAGTATGAAGTTAATATAGAAGGTTTAATGTATTAATGAATATTTGTTAAACAGCGTTAGTAGGAAGAACAATTAAATGAATGAAAAATATCATAGGACAGTGAATATTTCAAATGTCAAACAATAAAGAATGAAAATTTAACTGAACAATGAGCAATTAAAAAAATTGGGCGACAAGATTGTGATTAAAACCAATTCTCTTTTTCAGTAATTTAACTATAGTTCATCGGTTCAGAATGCTTGGACCCAATATTTAGTAACCAAGTTATCGTAAAATGTAATGCTCTTCTATACATCTAAAAATGTTACTGAATAGTTGAATTTGTGATATGAAACCGACTGATATTTCCTGCGCGCTCCTATAAAAGTTTTTCAGGTGAAAATACAATGTAAGGAAAAAACCGCTTTATATTACCTCTGGAATTAATTCAATAATTGTAATATGAAGTTTCTTAGTGGGAAATCACAGGCTGCGTTCGCAAAGATACTGGAATGCGTTTTTATCTCCCACCGGGAGCTAAATTATTTGTTTATTTATAAAATAATATTACTAACGAGTTAATAATTTATAGTTAAGCATTAAACTCCAGTTAACTGAAAGGATGCTTACTTTCAGGCAAAGTGGTGGTAGGCTGCCGTGTGGTGGAGACGATGGTGGTAGGTATGGTTGTTGTTTCATCCGAGGGTGGGTATGACTGAGTTCCAGGGTACTGGGTTGATACCACTTGGCCCCACATACCAGATTTTTGGACACCTTCGGTATTTTCACCAGCAATTTCGTTGCCCATGCCTAGAGTTCCAGCGTCCACCTTCCTGGCTTGTATTCGGTTATTGCGGCTGCCGAACACGCTGCCTAAGCGGTCATATTTTCTCTCTGGTCCGCCCAGGTTGGTCGGCACGATGACTTTTCGGTCGTTGGTAGTGTCGATGTATTTTACTCTACCGATCGAATCGTCGTCGCCTCCAAGGTTCCGGTCGAAGCTGCGGTCGAAACCGCGGGTGTGGGTAGAATCGAACCGCATATCGGGGCCGTGGACCAAACCTGGTGCGTGGTCCACTTGGACGAACCGGGGGGGATGGAACTCAATACCAGTTTGCTGAGAGGTAGAAAACAGAAATGAAATCAATTATAAATTTTCTATAATGAGGTAAGTTCTCTAGCTCGAATAATTATATAAAAAATGTAAGCACGAAAGTACTCTGCAAAACATGATTCAAGGACTGAAATGCCTGGTTTATGGATAAAATTGATTTTTGAATGATCATCAACTGGGAGTATGAAAACTATTTGAATTTTGATATATTTTACCTTCAATATCCATATGAGCCTTCTAATGACAGTGACATGTTTATTATTTCCTCATGAATTACAATCTAAAATTGATCAATAATATTTAGAAAATTCCTTTTTGTGCCAGATTGATGTCATACTCACTCTGGGGAGTTGGGGCGCGGGATCTATAGGATCCAGAGGACTCTCTGACGGGGAAGCATTCGTCGCCTCAGGGTCCTCCCCAAAAATGCTGGGCAGTTCCACCCTGGGGATGCTCGGGTGGTCTGGGGAGGTTAGGGAGTCCAAGATCCAGTTAATGGATTTTTCTGGTTGTTATTCTATGTTTGAAAAGTATGTTAAATTTAAACGTATATAACACCAAATAAAGTTTTTCAGGGTTAGCAATCGAACTAAAAATTCCCGATTTATGCGATTTGAGAATTGATAAAATTTGATTGAAGTAAATTATAAGTTTATTGATTTATATCAAAGCCATTGCTCGTTGTTAATTGACATACGTATATTAATCATTGATTACTTTAGAAATAATTTTTTATTGATTTTTTCAGTCTGATGTTGATCGATTGTCTAAATGTATTATTGTGGGAAACGATTAAAAATTGTTTTTCAAAATCCGAGGTTAGGATTCAATGTCTGTTCCATACCCTTGTCTGAAAATTTCGTTAAGAGTAAAATGAAATTGTTCCCAGTAATTATTTACAAAGAAACAGATCCGTACACTACACATTGTACTTCACCACAAGAACAGATCCGTACACTACACATTGTACTTCATCACTCCGTGCACTACACATTGTACTTCATCACGGGAACAGATCCGTACACTACACATTGTACTTCATCACGAGAACAGATCCGTACACTACACATTGTATCTTAAACAATTAGTTTTTATTTGTATGGACTAAGAATATATTTGTGAAAAAGGTATGAGCATTAATTTTATTATTTGATTTAGGCGCACTTTGTTTCCAATATTTATTATTGAAAAAACTTGATCAAGCTCTTCCCTCCACTTAAATTAGCTCCAGGATAAAAAAGAAAAGCTTGAAAACTGATGACAAGCTGAATATTAATTTTATAATTATATTAGAAGAATTAAAATAGTTAAATGAGTTGATAGAATAACGAGAATTAAATTATAAGCCAATATTTAATACGCAGGAAATTAAATCCCTGATAATATTTTGTTCACTTCTATGAAATTACGACAATCTCCATAAAAGCTTCATTTTATTAATTAACGACTAATTAAGTTGTTGATAATTATGGAAAATAAACTGGAATTTTTATAGTGAGTCGCTATTTACCGCTAATGAAATTAGAAAGCGACTAAAAATGCAAGAAAAATTATTTTCTGCGAAAATTCACGTGGCAAAAAATGACGTCTTCTTAAAAGTTATTTGACAGAAAAAACTTCCGGGTATTGAAGTAGAAAAAAGCGCTATCTAATGAGCTCTCGACGTTGGTTTTGAAGAAAAAAATTGAGGGATTGTACTTTTATTTTATATATTTTTTAAACTGATAATGGAGCTGTTTCCCGAAATATTTTCAGCTGGAAATATAACGAATTTGCTTGGAGTTTTCTTTGCTTATAAATTCTTGAGGAAAAAAATAGACTCTTCGGAGCTCTCCAAAAATGAAGCTCGTGTGCGGCATCGAAATAACTCCATTAGCTCGCCAGCTCCCCTCTCTTTTTCTTGGTGAACAGACACAGCAACGATAATGCGAAGTTATCTAATTTAGACCTGTGGCCCTTAGAGAGATTTTTCAATGTAAGTATTGTCCTAAACAGTAAATAGGATTTAATATTGAAAAATAAAAGTTATATACTGTAGAATGCTATCTAAACGTATTCTGACACGGGTTGAGCTCGCTCTCGTTAATTCTAACGTGACTGAGTTTCCTATAATGGGTTTTAATGAGACTGAGTTTTCTCTAATTAATTATAATGTGACTGGTATTATTGTCCTACTTTAAAGGAGCAGCTCTACCCACAATGAACATTATTTTTACATTATCAATTTATCAGGAGTTACTACGAAACATTGCAGTAATGGATCGTATTGTTATTATTTAGCGAAATGTACTTTTGTTCTTGTTTACAAATTCCGTGCAAGGGACACTTGCAGGAAACGAAACTTCATAATTTTAAAAACTCATCACTTCTCAACTCATGTAAAGCAAAGATACTAATTGAAAATATATATGTAAGAAAAACCGCTATGTAAATTCACCATATTTGTGGATGAAGAAAGAATTTACCATTTCATTCATAATTAATCAAGAAATGGTGAATTTACTTGACTTTTTATTTGTTTTTAAATTCTTGTAGATTTTGCGATTGAAGCAGACTAATGAGATAATGGATAAATACTTAAATTATTCATATACTCACCTGGGTCGTAGTGCCCAGCAGCCTCCAGCCTGGTCGATATCAGCTCTACACCAGCACCCAGCTGGTCCAGGTGGTATGTCAGCTGGCTCTCCACTGCATGAGAAAGATGGTGCATAACATGATAGCAGGAGAGAAAATCAGGGGCCGTACTCTCAAAGATAGCTTTTGAACATGTAGCGACCTTAGTGCACGTAACGGTCTAAGTACACCTATAGTGACCTAAATACACGTAACGGCCTAAGCATACGTAGCGCCATTAGTGGCTGTAGCTGTATAAGTACACCTAAAGTGGCCTAAGTACATGTAGCGGGCATAGCATACGTAACTGCCTAAGTACGCCTATAGTGATCTAAATACACGTAACGTCCTAAGTACATTTAGCGGCGCATTAGTTCACGTAGCTGTTTTAGTACACCTAGCGACCTAAAAACATGTAACGACCTAAGTTCATGTAGCAGCATTAGTGCACGTGGCTGTCTAAGTACACCTATAGTGACCTAAGTACGCGTAGCGGCCTATTAATTACACGTAGCGGCTTAGCCTATGTAGCAGCCTTTGTAGACATAGCGGAAATAGTACTCGTTAAGACCGACTTGTCGTCTTTGATTGGTGGGTTTAACTTGAAAAGCCGTCAGCTATTGGCTAACGGAGATAAGAACTTGGTACTACAAGCCCCTGCAACAATAGCTGGCTTTTGGTATATGGTAAAAATTGTAAACATCATCTGGTCTTGGGAGCCGCGATGCGATTCTTCAACTACCAAATTATCATTGGTCTTTCGCACCATGCAGAGATAAATTTTCTCAATGTATAACTTTGTTCAAGCAAATTCATTAAAACCCTGTTGACATATATCACTGAAACAAAAATTATCGCAACACATTTTTTCGTAAACTAAAAAGTCTGAGGCCGCAATGTCTTGCAAAGATGGCATCAACGAAGCTGACTTCATATGGTCGATGCTGGGCCAATTACGCGTCGTTGAGGCCTCAACTCAAATAAAGTGTCGACGTTGACGGCCTCGCAGCACAAACTTTGATCATGTGAATTATGATGGAACTGCGCCGCATTTACCACGCCAAACAAGCCATGTTTTATGTCAGGAACGTGGCGCTTGTTGGGACAAACAAGAAATGTTTGGTGCAGCAGCGAGGAGTTTGTAGCAAGAAACATGCGGTGTTTGGTATCAGCAGGATATGGCGTGTGCCCAGACAATCACGCTGCGATTGGTATCAGCAGGATGGCGTGTACCCAGACAATCTCGCTGTGATTGGTATCAGCAGGATGGCGTGTACCCAGACAATCACGCTGCGATTGGTATCAGCAGAATGGCATGTGCCCAGACAATCACGCTGTGATTGGTATCAGCAGGGCAGTCTGTGGACTGACATACCCTCAGTGTCAGCAGCAGCAGCAATCGGCATGCAATCATTGTCTCTTGACACGCTCTTGTTATTGCGGGCGCTTATATTTGCCACAGACAAGCAATGTTTCAATGAAGTCGGCCATTATACACACTCAGAGCACAAAGTGGGGCTCTGCCCAAACACCGATGCACTTTTCGCATTGTGTGTGTCATTTTTACTCAGTTTGTCTGGTAAAATTGCGTTGCCCACTCATAGCTATATAGTGCAATGAGTACAAAGTTTATCAATATTCATCGTGTATCAATATGTATTAATTAGTGTATCAATATTTGGCCATTGGAATATTTGGAATTTGGAATATTTGGACAGTGTTCACTCATATTTTTATGAGTGAGCTCAATGAGTGGTGATGGAACCAATACATGCATAAGTTTTTACGTCCTTGTCCAAAATTTATGAAGAAGTTCTTGCAAGTGGAACAGTGTTTGTCTTATTTATTTGAGTCCCTGCGCTCGCAGACATATGTGAGAAAAATGCGAAATAGTCAAATTTGATAATATTTAAAGACACCATTTTTATTATTACATGGAATTTTTATTAATATTTTCATTAATAGCCTATTAACCATATGTTAATTTTTAGACACTAAGCGTTTAAATACAGGAAGCCAATCTATATTTATTTATAATATGTTCTGTTATATGTTCCTACAAGTTATGCTCATCAGACTGCTTGATGTAAATGTGTACTATACTGTATGAATTTTACGTTTGACACTAGACGCGCGATGACGTTAAAATGACTTGAATTCGCATGCTATAATAGGAATAAAGTGTAAACAATGCATTTGATTGCCACGAAATTTTATAACTTTTATTTTTTCAATATTATATATCTAATTACGTGATAGCAATTTGATACATCACTTGTATTCAGCACAATTGAGTGCTCTACCATAATAGATTTACTTTACATTTATTTTTTCACAGATCATCATACTGATACAGATCAAACGGTGCTATTACGTGTTACAAAAACTGTACAAATTAGTAGCGTTGTGTTCAGACATGTCAGAAAAAGTTTGAAAAAAGTTTCATATGTAACGTGTTGGCAGCAGGATTGAACGAACAGTATACGCACTCCTCTTCGCCTCGTGGCGACAAGATGTTGGGGAAGTCGCATACCGACGCTCAAATTAGAAATATTTTAGCTTAGATTAGTAAAATTAGCAATTAAAATGCTGTTTTATTCGTCCAATGGGGTTCCAGGGTAAAAGAGACTTATTAGCATTTATTAACGCACGAGGTCAAATGACCACACGCAGTATTTCAAGGTGGTGTACAACTGCCTTGCTTCCAGTGTAAAATTTTGGGCAATTCTATTTACACCAAAAAAATTCTGAAATATCCTAGACGCGTTTAAAGTTCTTGCTGCAAGCAAGCAGGTTTTTTACACCAATACTGGGTTGAAATGAACGAATGTAAATTCTGGGTGTAAATGCTCCCGATTTGATGCAGTCTCGCTTATGCTGAACACCCCACTCAAAGAAATGAGTGAGACATTATCAAAATAGCCAAGTATTTTTGCTTGTGTGTGGTCTTCCTGACTCGTTTTGGCAGGGCTGCGTGTGGCATGTGCGTCAAAATTTGGACACTGTGACCCATAAATTTTTCTTAGTGCTGCAGGGTTTCGTGATGGGGTATAGATTGACGCCGCAACGACCCACAGGTAAGTAGATGTATTGTTCGGCAGAGATTTATAGCCGTTAATAAATCAAACGCATTAGCTGACCGAGGTCACTGCGATAACTCTGCTACATTATCTCAGGTCATTATTAAAAATGGTTAAATTATAGAGGAAAGATCCAAAGTTGAAGTAACGGTTGATAACTTTGACGTCTTTACCTTTTAGATGTGCCCCTATATGTGTCGATAGTGATGTCATATTCACTGTGACACAATATATATACTATATCACTAGATAATAAGATAATACTAACATATATGTGCGTATAAATAATATTTAGAGCTAAAATAGCATGAAGTGCTACTAGAATCAAATTTCAATAAACTTCAATAAATAAAATGGACAAACCTGAACTTTAATCAATTAGAGTTTCATGTTCATTATGATCATTGATATGAGTGGTGTACAAGAGATTCAACGTATCTAAGACATGGACGCTGTCGTAAATTACGACCTTGAACTGAGGATAATGATAATGATACGTTTAAATGATTTAAGAAGGAAGCTTAAAGCGTGCATTGAAAGTGTGATAGGTTTTATGAAATCTGTTGAGAAATTCACTCCAGCGAAGTGCTTCTCAATATCCGCTAGAGGAATACACTTTGATTTTGTGAAGAGTCTCAATCAAATCGATAGTCGTGTGAGTGCTGCTGTAGATTGAGAACGTAATTCGAGTGCAATTTACATAAGTGCAATTTACTATTTGGGTGCATTTTGCTGGTGAGTGCGACGAATGAGAGCCCAAATTGTCGCATTATTGTTAATCATTTTCATGATTAATTGCTTCGCATTGATGGTTCCATAGCGCAACCTGAGAAAATGTTCGGACATATTCAATCGTTTCGCTTGAAATAATGACGTTATTATAAAGTTTTTAAAGTTGTTTTTCAAAGGAATGGTTAGGCAATTGTCTTTGTAATTGAATTGCTCTCTAGCTGTTATGTTTTTACGACAAATATTATTTGTGCATTATTATGGCCAAGTGGAAAGTCATATTTGAATATCATCAATAGCATTGATTAAAGAACAAGAATTGTGTCCGCTGTATTGAATGATTACACATTACACAACCTAACGTTGCTAGAATATTAATGCCAACTCTACATGCAAATTTTATCCTCATTATCGTTCATTATTATTTCCTAGGTAGACGGCCGGCCATAACCCGACACTGGTTTGCCATTAGGTAGCGCCGCGTGTTATGTTGCAATGGGAATTATTCATTCAGAGAAATGGATGTGACTTTGTCAAAATAACGATGCACTCGTTGTCATTGTGTGGGTCATCATGAAAAAGTTAGGCTTGCCAATAATGAGTATCATTGCCCACGTCCATGGTCTGCTCGTGCTGTGAGTAAGAAAGTGTGATTTGGACACTATGACGCGTGAAATTTTCTGAGTATAGATGTGAGTTACATGCAATCGACGCCTAATGACATCTGTCAATAGAGCTGCACGTAGTAGAAATGAATGCGCGATGCAAGAAAAATAATGCTATTATTCCGTCCATGTTGTTTAAAATGCATGGACTTTTAAATGTACTTTTGTTAAAGGGCATCTTTTAAAAGTTCTGTATTCTGATAAAACCGTGAAACATGTTTATTTGCCTACAAGATTATAATATATTTGCAAATTGACGTAAATTCGATTAGGGGCGTATAAGAAAGGTCAAGGGCATCGGCCTTAAAAAAAAGACAATATTATCGCGTCTTGATATCATCTAGCATCTTAAACTTGCATTTTTGACTGCTTACTTATGATACATGGAAGCTGACACCTGTAACCGAAAATTATTTACAGAAATGTATTTTACTGTTTTATTTTGCTGTTTTGCTAATCAATGATTCGTTTAAATGACATGTGGTTGAACAGCTGAGCCAGCCGTTGAGTGCTTGTTTACCCTTCATCGACAATTTAAAGGGCTTTCCAGGTTGTGCTGCGAGGCGCCTTATGAATGGGTTTGATTTTTTGGGGCACTTCCTGTACAGGTTCATCAGGAATACCTGAATATCTGATAAACTCATTCATCGTCCTGAAGGTTGATTGAGGATTGGTGGTGGATGAGATAGAAATCACGTAAGCATTGTTGAAGTCGCTTGGCGAATCAGTTATATTTGCGAGAAAAATAGAAATTTTTTCGTAAAAGAGCCGAAATCGTAAAAAGAGCTGAAAACATTTGCATTGTTATTGGTCATATTTTAATTTGAAGTAATCATGCTTTTAAATATGGGAGCAAATTTTTTTATGTCCATATTAATTTTATTTTTTTTTATGCCATCGCCCTCCAAATTTTTAGTTTGATACCCAATTATTTATGATATTCTTGTTAGGAAATCCTTCAAAATTTGTGTCAACTGCTCAGATTTTTGAAGTTAAAAGCGAAGTTTGGATGTGATCATCCAGCACTTCTGAAACCATACCAGGTTCACTGATAAGAAAAGTTCTACTTTAGAACCTGAAGCACGCACTGAAACATATTTTATGTATGTCGAAACTAGACGTTTCACAATCGAAGAACTGACTGTTTCCAATAGCGGCCACCGCTTCTACAAGGACGAATGCCTGCGCATGACCACGAGTTGTGAATGATGAATGACATGAAGACGGTGAGTGCATTTACTAGGCTACCTGAAGTCTACATGGCTGCTCCTACATGGCTGCTCCTGCATGGCTGCTCCTGCATGGCTGCTCCTACATGGCTGCTCCTGCATGGCTGCTCCTACATGGCTGCTCCTGCATGGCTGCTCCTACATGGCTGCTCCTACATGGCTGCTCCTNGTGCCTCCCTCACACTAGTGAGGCAGAGGTGCCTCCCTCACACTAGTGAGGCAGAGGTGCCTCCCTCACACTAGTGAGGCAGAGGTGCCTCCCTCACACTAGTGAGGCAGAGGTGCCTCCCTCACACTAGTGAGGCAGAGGTGCCTCCCTCACACTAGTGAGGCAGAGGTGCCTCCCTCACACTAGTGAGGCAGAGGTGCCTCCCTCACACTAGTGAGGCAGAGGTGCCTCCCTCACACTAGTGAGGCAGAGGTGCCTCCCTCACACTAGTGAGGCAGAGGTGCCTCCCTCACACTAGTGAGGCAGAGGTGCCTCCCTCACACTAGTGAGGCAGAGGTGCCTCCCTCACACTAGTGAGGCAGAGGTGCCTCCCTCACACTAGTGAGGCAGAGGTGCCTCCCTCACACTAGTGAGGCAGAGGTGCCTCCCTCACACTAGTGAGGCAGAGGTGCCTCCCTCACACTAGTGAGGCAGAGGTGCCTCCCTCACACTAGTGAGGCAGAGGTGCCTCCCTCACACTAGTGAGGCAGAGGTGCCTCCCTCACACTAGTGAGGCAGAGGTGCCTCCCTCACACTAGTGAGGCAGAGGTGCCTCCCTCACACTAGTGAGGCAGAGGTGCCTCCCTCACACTAGTGAGGCAGAGGTGCCTCCCTCACACTAGTGAGGCAGAGGTGCCTCCCTCACACTAGTGAGGCAGAGGTGCCTCCCTCACACTAGTGAGGCAGAGGTGCCTCCCTCACACTAGTGAGGCAGAGGTGCCTCCCTCACACTAGTGAGGCAGAGGTGCCTCCCTCACACTAGTGAGGCAGAGGTGCCTCCCTCACACTAGTGAGGCAGAGGTGCCTCCCTCACACTAGTGAGGCAGAGGCGCCTCCCTCACACTAGTGAGGCAGAGGCGCCTCCCTCACACTAGTGAGGCTTTCTAGTGCCTCACAATGGCAAGGAAATAGTCCCGGTATTTTTCTTATATGATGCATGTGAACTTCTACCTCGTCAGGAACTGTATTTTTGCCTGAGCTTTGGCGTTAACATTACAATAGACCTTACAATTTTTATTAATTGTTTCTAGTATAGGAATAATTTTGAAGATTTTACTTCGAACAGAAATTTAATTTTAATGATAAGAAAAAAGGATGCCTGGTTTGTGACTGTTACTTGTGTTAAATTCAAGTGTTGTATTTCGATGAATTTTCCTGATCGATGTATCAAAAAGTTTTGTCGAGAGTCGACGAAAAGAAAAGAACGGTACTATTGCTATGGCAAATTCAGGCCATGTTAAGACCATAACACGAAAAATGTATAGATATTCATTATGTAGAATTCATGTTATTAATAATTTGAAATTCAGTAATGAAAAAATTATTACTAATGTACATAATGAATGATGAATTGTAAGTTTTTGGGACACTCTCAATGAACATGTGCTTCAAATGAAGTAATTTGAAAATTATTGTTGTATTTTAAGCGCTTGAACCCTATCACAAAGTAAAAGCTCGTATTAATATTATGTAATGAACATACAAGATGGTCATCTTTTTGTAGGAATGCATTGTATGTTATTATAAAGGTTATGAGTTTCAACTTTTCAATTAAATCATCTGAAAGTTTCATTAGGTCGATATTCCGTTCTCAGTTTATAGTTATCACGAGAGAAAATCATCGAAATTTATCAAAATGATTGATGTCATCGGAAATAATGATTGATATGTATTAAAAATGTTTGCACGTGAACCATTATAATATGGCGTCTCTAGAGGAGCGACGCGAACAATGTACCTACTATATTTTCAAAGGCCCCGTGCAGTTGACTTTCAACTTTCAATTTCAATTCCACTTTTAGGAAAAATGTATCCGGCCGGAAAAGACATCAAGACAAAAAAGGAATCATAACAAAAATTTTTCAATTCCGCTGAGGAAACGAGATGAAATTTAGAAGAAATTCATGCAATATTTGCCTTCACAGGAAAATTCCAACACGCCACTCACCCACGCATGGGTTGGCCCAGAGCATGACTCACCCACGCATGGGTTGGCCCAGAGCATGACTCACCCACGCATGGGTTGGCCCAGAGTATTCACACAGCACCAGCAGAGAGTGTCGCATAAATAAATGTGTAAAATTTTGTATAAATGTTGGCACACATTCGTACACACAGCAGGAGTAGGAGCGTATATGAAGCATTGATACACTCAATTACTGGACCATAGTGGGTCAGGATACCCCACACAAGAAAAGTATTGCGTTGTTTGGACAAATTCTCTCTCATTTCGCTGAGTGTGGACTTGGAATGATGAGTTTTACCAATCACAAAGTCTTGCACAAATTCGATTGAAGAAATGAGAATACATTTTATTAATTGTGCCCCAACAATGCATTTTATGAAAATATTTTCAATTTTCTTACTAATCTTGTGATTTGAATAGATGACCGGAGAGAATTATTTTTATTATTATTTTATTTTAAATTAATGATAGATGGGTAAGAGTAAAGAGAATTATTCCTGAGAACTTCAGCTGTTGCCGGTCATGCGAGTATCATTTATACACGCACGCGGGAAATGATAGTGATATTAGTACAAGTAAAATTCGTAAATTCTGGTTTGACAGAAGTATAAAAATATAAAATTTGGATTGATAAATTTTGAAAGGAATAAAATTTGCATTAATACATAAAGAAGTTGTTACGTTGCTGCATGGCAGAAGTCCTAATCCTCATGTCAAAGTGCTTTCTAAATAGAATATACAGTAATGCGAGACTCTTGACGTCTTGTCAAATCGTGGGGTAAATCAATTAAATTAAGTGAATAATTTATATCAGAAAACGTAGTCAATGGATTGTAATATTTATATGGTGAAAGTAAAGGCAATGACTGATAATTATGATTAAATTCAACCAAAAAATGAAGACCTATTTTTTCAATTCGAGAAAACACAAACAATGCTATCTATGTTTCCTGATGGAGGCCTTTCAGGTAATAATTTAATTTTTTACCCACATTGAGAAGATTTACATTTGATCAACAACACAGCCATTAATAAATGTTATATTACTTTTTGTGCAGCGAATCTTAAGGCAAAGATTTACTCCCAATGCCATGGACAAGTCGAAAGCAAGAACTGAGATTTTTTCACAAATATAAACCACTTTTTATGTGTGAAAAATATATTGACACTTAATATTGACACTTTCTTTCATTAATAACAACAATCAAAACACATTAGAATTCATCTAATACGTAATGGCAAAGGCAAGAATTGCTGATTGAAACATAAGTGATAATTTTTCATAAGGGTAGGAAACGGCAATGACTTGCCGGATACTTAAATATTGAACTCAAATGATTTAATCTTATAATATTGAGCTCAAATGATTTAATCTTATAATATTGAGCTCAAATGATTTAATCTTATAATATTGAGCTCAAATGATTTATTAATATAATATAGAACTCAAAAGTCACGACTTATTGCCAATCACAGAAGAGAAGACGAAGGCTGCGTTTATTCTATCAAGACAATACCGGATCTGCTATCCATTTATTGCATAGGTAAGGAGCCTGAACTCAATTATTTAATGCACAAATACAAGGTCAACATGATCTCGCCATCTCGACATGAATGATGGCAATAGTAAAATAATAATTAATAAAAATAACGATGATAATATAAATGTGCGCTAAGACCGATGTTGCGGTCATGAACGCTGTCAACTGCACGCTAACGATCCGTTTTCCAGGAAATAGGAAGAAAACATCCGTCCTTTGCATTATTTTAGTTCTTTCATGACCCCATCTTCTATAGTCCCGCTCGATTAATGTACGCTTATGATATTCTTACAAAAGACCACGATTACTCTAGGCTGTACAGAGAGAAGCTCAAGAGAAACATTTTGATGCAGTTATCTGTTTTATGTTAATATTGCTGGGGCGTTCACAAGTTTTCTGGTCACGTTTCTGCCATGGTGTCTCCTTATTTAGCTCAGTCACTGCACGATAGCAATGAACCTTACAGAAACAGTGAAGCAATGAAGCCGTGACGGCATTCCGGCACAAATTAAGCAGCATTGAGTATACACTCGAAATGCGTTGAAAATACTCTGAAAATACACCGTAAATTCGCAGGTAATGCACTGGAAATACACAGGCAAAACAGTGGAAATATACTGAAATTGCACTGGAAATAAACTGGAAATACTCTGGAAATACACTGTAAATACACAGATAATACACTGGAAATAAACAGGAAATACACTAGAAATACACTGGAAGTAAACTGGAAATGCACTGAAAATACACTGGACGTAAAATCACCGATAGCAAATATGTATCACACTGAGCACATTGAGGGGAAATGGTAGGAAACTATTCTGCAGAAATATTAACATGTCCAGATATCCCGAGAAACACTGAACATACTGAAATAAAATTGCAGAAAGTTATTCATTCACTAAATATTCCACAATAGCACGGAGTATACTGAAATACAATTATACCTTGTACATTTATCAGCACAATTACGTATATATCAACACTCGGAGTGAACGGTTCTGTTGTCGCTAATGACTTGGTAATGAGGATTTCTCAGGGGTAATTGGTTAAATTTGTTCCACATAATGAAATATAGGCAAATTAATTCTTAATCATATTATATTGATCACTAATTGACGAAGAGAAGGAGCTTGGGAAATAAACATTAAATTCAATCAAGGAACCGTGAGGAGGATAACTGCACTAGCACGACACTAGAGCGGGAAGAGGTGAGGTAGAATTACAGCGGATAATCTTTTGAATTTTCGGCAGATGAAAATTTGGATGATTTTGTCGAGAAGAATTATGACGATCAGTCATATTCATTCATATTCATTGAGTAATTTCGCTCCGTTTTCCAGGTTATTGTTTTTGTAAGCAAGAATATTTAATACTAGTGAATAAGTATTGAGCTTTTCTTTATATGCAGACCTTGTCGTTTATACAGACCATTTCCAAATCTGCATGCAGACCCATGGATAACCAGCTGGCCACGGGTCACCTGCATACCCTTTTCTTACCTGCAGACACTTTTTCCACTTGCAGACCCTTAACTCACATGCAGACCCTTTCCTAACCTGCAGACCATCTTCTCAACTGCAGATACTTTTCTCATCTGTAGACCCTCTTCTCACCTGCACCGTATTTCCTCGCCTGCAGACCCATGACTCACCTGCAGACCCGTGACTCACCTGCAGACCCGTGACTCACCTGCAGACCCGTGACTCACCTGCAGACCCATGACTCACCTGCAGACCCGTGACTCACCTGCAGACCCGTGACTCACCTGCAGACCCATGGCTCACCTGCAGACCTTGTCGTTCCTGCAGACTCTGCCGATGCGGTGACACTGGCTGACAGACAGCGCGTCGGTCTGCTCGGCGCAGTGCGGGTGCAGACGACGCTGCGAGCGCACGCAGTCTGTCGCGTTGAGGCCTTCGCCCGGCCTGACCATGGCGGAAAAATGCTTTGTAAATCATAAATATTGGAAAATTTAATTTTTTTCGTTATTGTTATATTCAATTAAAGCTTGTAAAAGTCTAAACTGATTTTGACTGGAAAAAAATTCGAAATAGCTAATAAATTAAAAAAATTCTAGAATGAAAGTCTGGGGAAAACTGCGATGCATGCTTTGTAAATCATTAATACTATGAGATATTAATACAAATTTATTTTTTCTATCATGGTTAAATTAATCTTTTCTTTCGTGGTTGAAGTAAATTAAAAGCTACAAAGCTTGCAAATCTGCAAACTAAACCTGGCAGCAAATATAGTTTATAATAACGAAAAATGTGACCAAATGAGAAAAATCATAAGAAATTTAACAAGGGCTAAAATTTCAGCAATCGTGATGTAATTTAGACTTGACAAAATTAAATATTACGATAAGGAAACACAATCATATGAGATGAAATGTTTTACAATAAAATGAAATAAAGTAAAATAATCATACAATAATAGCTTATGATGCAATACAGATGGACATGTCAGATTTTTCTAGATTTTTTTTGATCAAAATCTGGCATCGCAAAAAAGTTAAGAAACTTCTAGTTTGGATAAATGAATGTTTCGGATTTCATAATATCGTATTGTAGTTATTTATATTAGTTTTGACTTTTAAAAGTAAACTTACGAGCACGATTATTTATTATGCATTAATTATGAAAAATAAAAGTGAGGCTAAACTATGCAAAATAATAGGATGGGGCGAGTGGGAAGAAGGGGGGTAACTTTGGGGGGGATGTCATGAGATATGCCGGTGGTGGGGGGTTGAGCGTAAAAAGCGGGTTTGCTATGTATATGTAGCTACCACGTAAATATATTTATTCCAGTTACCCCTCGTAACCTATTTTCCAGGAACGTTGCTAGCCTATTATAATTTAGCGGAGTTACCCATCAACTCTAACTCGATGTGTTATTATTCATGTTATTGCTTTAACAGAATTAATAATTATCAACTGCAATTAGAATACTGGTAAATATGAATTAGCTACATATTCACAATATTAACACCGACCTAGGACGTTAGAAGATCAAGTAACTTCAGGTGTCATAAGCGTTTGCATGCCTGTAATACAGTGCGTAATCTGGTCACCAGACATGAATTCAGGAAAGCAGTATAAATTTTAAAAGTATCCTTCCCCTGTACGAAAAACGATTGTGAGACCCTAGCACTGTCTGCTTACTGACTTACTAGCCTTAGCCAAACCTGTAGGACGTTTGGTAGTTACAACTAAACATTTGGAACGGGTTAGACCATAATGGTCTTATACCGCGCTGCTAGCATTTCTACGTCTTACATATATAATGGCAAAAATATAGTTCTAGTGCCAGACTATCAGGCTTCAGTGTCTTGATAAAGAAGAACTTCGCCTGCAGACTCTCAATTGCTGACCATGCAGACCCTCACCTGCAGACACACAGCCCTATCCTGAGGGCCAGGTCCTGATGGAGCTCCATAAGGCCGTTGTAGAGCGCCTGCAGACCCTACAGACCCTCACCTGCAGACACACAGCCCTATCCTGAGGGCCAGGTCCTGATGGAGCTCCATAAGGCCGTTGTAGAGCGCCTGCACGGCGGCCTGACAGGCGCCCTGGTGACAATAGGACGTCTCGCAGCGAGCTGTGATGGCCTCCAGGTGTCTGCCATGTAAATTAGTTCATTATTTTGTGATTAAGTAAACTAATTACTCGGTCAAATAAATCACTATGTGATAATTTTCAGTCAACAAATCATTCACTATGCACTATGTGCTAATTTTGGGTGAGTAAATCAATCACTATGCGGTAATTTTTGGTCAACAAATCAATCACTATGCGGTAATTTTCGGTCAACAAATCAATCACTATGCGGTAATTTTCGGTCAACAAATCAATCACTATGCGGTAATTTTAACTGGTCTGCTACGATTTGGTTGAGTGTCAGTGTGATCGATTCCAGGTGACTGTGACCGGAATGAGTATGTTAATTACTTAAATAAATTAATTACTTAGTGATTAAACAAAGGAATTTGGAAGATCTTTCACTTTTGTATATTAAGGGGCTTAAAAATTTCTTCACGTTCTCAGCTGAAACACATAAGAATAAAATAGAGTCCTCTCTTCCCCTAGCTAGTCTGCAATTATTTTTTAATAATAAAAATAATACGAATATTAATAATAATACTACTACTACTACTAATAATAATAATAATAATAATAATGATAATTATAATAATAATAATAATAATTATAATAATAATAATAATTATAATAATAATAATAATTATAATAATATTGTGCTGTGATGTACGCACAATAAGCCGGCGTGGCGTCGTCTAGCTAATGCGTAGGTGGAGTGACGTGCTGCCTCATATTTGTCTTAATTGAAGACACAATTGAAGACTTGGTCATTGATCCAATTAATTTAATGACAACCTCCACGTTAACCTTGATATCGACGGCACAAATAAGAGTTAGCTAATGAATTACTTATTTAGTGCCATGAATGAGGAAACATTCCTTCCTGAGTGTGAATCGCATTGAATACCGTTATTCTCGTACCAGTGTATACGCAAATGCATATTATTTATTTCACTATACAATATTATTTTTCATTATATAATATTTATTTATACATAATATATATTACATTTTTATGTATATTATATTTTGTTTATTATTTGTTATACAAGCTTAATTTCAGTTTGATTTCCAGACAGACTCCAAAACTGCTATTCCATGGCGTAAGTTCAAATATTTGTAACTAATATAACTCCATTACCAGGACTGCGACCAAATGGCCATTAGCTAATTAATGGTAGCGACTGTGGATGAGGCGAAAGCTCCGTTCTTTACAGGATTGCTTGGCTAAAATGAACAATGAATGCCTGCACTCAAATTAGACCTGCACAGTTGCATGCAGAATAAGAGTTGGCAAATAAATGATTTTCAATTATTTAAATGCTTTATATTTATGTAGATTTAATCATGCATGAAATTACGAAACATCGATAGCAAAAGGATTTACAAGACCGATAATTACATTAAATGGTTTCCAGATTATTAAAAAATATAACTCGGTACTCACTGCAGTGAGTGACAGAAAGCGCATTTTCTCGTCGACGAAAACTTGAGGTCACGGACGGACGGACAGACGGACGGACGGACAGACAGACAGACAGACAGACAGACAGACAGACAGACAGACAGACAGACAGACAGACAGACAGACAGACGGACATGGCGAGCACAATAGTGTATTTTTTCCATAAATGATGACAGACAGACAGACAGACAGACAGACAGACAGACAGACAGACAGACGGACATGGCGAGCACAATAGTGCATTTTTTCCATAAATGAGAAAATGCGCTAAAATGACACCAAATATGGATCAAACACAGAGCGAAGTAATTAATGCTACAGGATAAGACAGGACAGACAATTAACTGATTTTGCAGTATGATGATAATTGAGAGCAATATATAATTATGCAAATTATGCGTGTTACCCTATCCCCGCACACCCAAAAATTTAGTTATATATATCCTGTGCCAATGAATGGTATATGTAGTTACTTAACTAAAATTTTGATTCCTGCTCTAAGATTTAGTTTGCATCTCAAGCAAAACTTGAATCAATGTTGACTTGTTCATCAGTGAAATGACGCCTTCAATTTATTTAACTTGCTAAGAATAAACTTGAGTGGAATTTCGATTGAAGGCTCCAAGTATATCTTCCAATTTTTTTATATGGTTGTGGTTATTCCGTTAAAATATATAACTACATAACCAACTTTTGACATAGTTGAGGCTTGACTTATGTCTAGTATTATTTAAACGAGCTTCCTTACTTTATATCTCAGCGCACAATGGAAATCTGTAAAACTAAAAACAAAAGCAACCATGTTTGCCCAGGAGCTGCCCGGCATCCGCTCTAATGGTCTCGATATTCCAGCTAAAGATTATCGTCGTCGCTAAAGGCTTTGGGTCTTCGCACAGAACCTCTAAATCCGAATATTTTACATGAAACCAACTTTACTTCGACATTAAATGCTATAGCACTACTTACTTGCGATAACTTTCTCTCACCGTACTAGTAATGGCGGGTTTAATCGCAATGCACATAATATTTCAGCTGAAATGGAAATTGAATATTTTGTGTGATCTGCCCCAAGCTGCAGCGGGAATCCAGAGGAGAACAACCAACATCAGACACAACTAAAATAAATTGCGACGGACGGTGTTTTAGAAAAAATCAATAGCCAGGAAAGGCATGGCAATATTTATTTTTTTTTCAAAATTTTTATGCTTTTTAGTAACTTTTTAAACAATTTTGGCCATTCCTTTTTGAATGTCACATTAAATCAATTTGGGGCAGCTGGTCCACATTTTAAAGACGAGACGGCAAGATTTCTTCTGTTTCATCAAGTTTGAAGGCGCGCTGGTAATTTCCTGAATGAAATTAAATGATTTAAAAAATTGTTGAAGCATTTTCATTTACCCTTGATGCCATTATGTTCATTTTGGGATGAGCCGCCATTATGAGGTTGAAGTTAGACTTAGGGACTAGAATTTTGTTAAGAATTTTACTAATGTCTGGGAATTTATTTGCTGAAGTAGATGCAATATTCAGAATTTCCTCTCGAATAAAAGGATGTTCTCATCTAGCTCTGAGTAATGGATTATACTATCTATACTTGTACTAAAATTTATCACAATTACGTGCTGCGTGCGGATTCAAATTAACGTTCAATTGCTGCACCTTCAGGTGTCAAAATCTCGCACCCAAAATATCACACGCACTGAGATCTTTTATTATGTGTAATTTATTGTTTTTATTCATCATTCAGCTAGTATAGAAGTAACCATCACATCTAACACCTCTCAACGAAATAGACAAGTCTGCTGTCAAGAAAATGCCGTGGGAATTTCTTGACAGCAGAGAGAACAATTTAGTTAGTTAATTCTCTCTTGGAAGATAGAATAATTTAGTTAGTCCTGTTAATTTACGGAGGTGTTCGAAGTGTGCTGAGGTGGCCTGTAAAATCGAAGCCTATTGCTGAACTTGTGCCTCTTCACACGCTCGACAAACACGCTGCGAGAGGCGCTAAGTGAAGCCGAAATCACGAAGAAAAAGAAATTGTGGGAAGTACGAAAAGTAATGCTTGAGCAAGGGGCTATATAGTCCATTAGGTGTACGAAGGACTCAGGACTAGGTGCAGAAATATTGGAGAAGGGTGGACGTAAAATGCTTGCAACTGTTTGATGTGTCACAGAAACTTAGATAAAATAAATAAAATAAAAATAAACGATTAATTGGGACATTGTTAAGTCAAATAAATAATAAAATGACGGAGGGATGGTGATACATGAATAAAGTAGAGTAAAGAAAAATAGAAAATTGTCAATAAAACAAATTCTCTGGTCTTCAATGAAACCTGCATAAAAAGAAAATAACCTTGCATCGCCGGAAGCGTGAAAGCTAAAACTGTAAATAACGATTTTTTTCTGATTTTCTGAATTGCCGCCTACTAGAAAATGTATTTTTTGCTTATGAAGAAAATGTATTTGACAGCTGGCAAAGCAAGAAAAATGCGAAGAAAAAACTGTTAAAACACAAACGGTGAGCCATACAATGAAATAAAAGCTCTACAATATATTGCTGGCGACGCTGCTTTTCCTTCGAGCGGTTACAATCCTTAAGCAGATCATGTTCATCCTTCAGAATCCCTTACCCTCGATAACGAATTTTGAAATCGATGAAAATGGACTAAGCAGGTTGGCTAGAGCGGTCACTGAGCGCATAAAATGACCCTGCTCAGCTGCAGCCTTCGATATCTTCGTCGTGTGGAGACGCTGATCCGCGATACTGTTGCTTGCTTCTTGTCTAAGAAAATGTGCTAACGACTCCATCAAGTCATCTCTTGAAGGTCTCTAGGTTGAATTGCTCTTCACTTAGCTCCTTTGGCAAGACGTTAAGTAACATTGGTCCAGCCTTTGAGAGGGATCCTTCCCGCAGAGAGTGAAATCTTGCGGCAGCTCTGTAGCGGAATTGGGGCATTCTGCACAGTCTTCCCTTCATGTCTCTGCATAGTCCCCCATTATAAGTCCTGTTATAAATTCAGGCGTACAGAATGACATAACTTTCCCGTCTATTCTGCAGTGAGTACAGACCAATTAATGTACTTCAGCCTATCCCAGTAGTTGGGCTCCTCCATTCCGCAGATCCTAGACGAGAGAATTCGCTGTAGCGCTTCCGATAGCCCTACTGCGCCGCAATAAACGGGGTCCATTGCTGGCAGCAGTATTTAAGGAGAGGGAAAACAAGTGCTATTAAAGGTGTGATCCTTGGTTTCACTTCCCTTCTTCCGAACTTTTAAAATATCCACCTCATCTGTCGCCAACCTCTTGCAGTTATTTCCATTCAATGACCACCAAACTTGACTTGGGTTCTCATTAGCACTCATAAATCACGTGCAAATTGCTACTTTTTAAATTTCCGTCTGTCCGTTGCCAGTTAGTCGTAATTCACTTCATCCCGATTTTTCCGCTACCTCTGTATCCCAGAACCTCAATCTTGTTTCAGTCAAATTCAAGTCATATATTGCAGACAGGTCTTCTTGCAACCTCTGGCAGTCTGTCGTGTTCGTATTTGTCATCAGCACCCAAGTGTCGTGCATGTAAGACGATATCGAGGCGATATATCCACTTGGAAGTGGCACACCTCACGAGCCAGAACCGAGAGCTTGTCTAAGATCTGCTCCACTCAGCTCAGGCCTTCGATATTTCCTCCGTGGGATGGCGGAGGGACTCATCTATATTCTACATACAAGAGCGTGCTACATATCGCCCCCCAGAGTCACCCTTACCTCACCCACTGCATACCTCATAATAACCACTGCCTGCGCCTCTTATAGCCAACGCCAGTCTCCCGGAACTCCCGCCAGTCCCCAGTAACTCCCACCAGTCCCCGGTAACCCCCTCGTAACCCCCACCAGTTCCCCGTAACTCGCCGTAACCACATTAAGCTCGCGCGGCCGGACGCCGGTTCCAGGCGATGACGTTACATCGCTTGTTAAAACACTCGATACTAACCTGATAAAATTAACGTTATTATGTGTAGGGCAACATTTTCAGTGCTATTAATTGGAACAGTGAATTCAAATGAACAGATTTAAATGCTACCTAAAACAAAAGATTTGTTTTTAATAGTTATAACTACGTGTTTAAATAAAAATCACACACGAAAATAGGATTTTTTTATGCTTTGTCTGTTATTGAATCTGACTGACATATACATTATTTAAACGTCAATTTAATTTGATTACTTTTAATTAAGATAGCATTCTAAAGTAATAATGAATCATGCAATATCGAAGTCAAGACATCGGTAAGTCATTACCTCGTGAAGACGCGAGTAATTTATAAGGATGATGTATCATGTACATACCTAACAAATAAAAGTTTACTGAATTTCCGAATTGTTGAAAATACATTACACTCGTTTTCATTTTGATGTATTTAGACGTCAGTTAACATTTCTGATAATATAATTTTTTTCTGTTTTTCTACGAGGAAAAACATGAATTTGATTCCGAAGGGTTTAGACATTGGAAATAAATGTATGGTTTTCATATATAGTATAATAATTAAATGTTTGGTTTTGCGTAGCATTTCGTTTTAATTTTGATTCGAATGTTTTGTAAATGTGCATCTAGTAAAGAATCTAAATTTGATTATTGACTTATCCCTGTAATTTTGAGACTGAGTCTTTTTTCATGGAATTTAGCATCAAATTTTGGACAGGTTCGTTTAGTTCAGTTACTCATTAGCAAGAAATTTAGTAAAGCAATAATTTGTCATTATATTTACTTATTAATGGCTAATATACTCGACAGATTCGTAGACAATAATCTTAACTGCCACGTTTTGAATTTAAATATCCACAAGAGACAAATCCACAGAATCATCTTCGAATTTTGTAATGTTATGGGGAAGATCACGGTCATGAATAGAGTGAATGAATCATGTGAGTAGAGAAATTGTAATCAATGTTAGTGGAATGCCTCCAGGAAATGTCACTATCAAGTGAATATTTACTGAATTACAGTAAAGGAAGTTATGTGAGCCTGCGATTGTCTGATTATTTCCCCACAATTGTATTTACTTCTCATTACAATATCCATCATTCAATATATCCTCATACAATACCCATCATGTAGCTACCGGGAAGTTCCAATTCATCTAATGACTGCTTTACTCCCTGGAAGCTCTGTAATACGAATATGGAAAGAAGTTATTAAATTTCTGGTTCTCAAATGCAGTTTTCCAGTTTATTTTGTTCGCCTGAAGCATGCGTGTCACCGACATTTTACTTTAGTTCAGTTTTATAAGCATCTTAGAGTTTCAGTTTCGGTGTTGGTTCTATTATGAACAGAAGGAAATGTTTGGCACGTGTATTTTAATTCCGAAGATCCATGAATACCTTGACTTTTATCGTGTTCTATGTTCGTAATAAATTATTTCACTTCTCGGTCATATCTTTTGTGCAATACTAATTTAATGTAACTATTTTTTAACTTTGTATATTGTTTTGATTACAGAAACCAATTTTATAAAGAAAACGGAACGAAAATTCGTGTATTCAAATCCTTCGCAAAATGAACATACGCAACAGAAGTAGTTAGGAACCAAGTAAATTTCCGCCGGTTTCTGGATGACGGAATACTCACATTGCCCGGTATTATATCTGTACCGGGCGACGCCGTGCTAATCTGCAGGTATTTTCATAAAGTTTTCATAGCGGAAACATTGCGAATAATCAAATAAATTTACTTTACGCCTTCTTTTTGCATCCTGTAACGCGGACTGCTTTTTTGACGCCAGAATTCTTTCATAAATAATTTGTGAAATGATTACTATAAATTTCGACTGAACTATGTTAGTTAGCGGCGCACATTTGAGGTTAAATCGCTTTTAACTCTGGCATAGCGACACTTCAAAAATGGCCCTTTAAAAACATGCACAAGTTAGCTACGGTGTTGTGCAAAAGTGAATATCTATTAACTTTGTAAAAGCACTTTTTGGCGTTAAAGTGTAAATATTTATTATTTCTGCCTAAATATTAACAACCATACACTTTTTAATGAAGAAATGAATGATATTAGCAAGTTTTGGTCACGGGGTTGCGCTTGCAAATTTCAGTTATAAAATATTCAAAGTCAGAGCTCTGTGATCCCTATAATTGAATACATTTACCCAGCAAAAATTCGAGTCGAAAAGCGTATTTTTATCTAAAGAGGAACTGAGTTATCCATTAGAGATACATTTAGAAGGCATCTCTAATGGAAATTGAAATTCTGCTCTCGCCCGCTTCAAAACAATTAATTGCATAACATCTTTTTAATATTGTAAAATGATTTATATAGGCACCATTCATGTTTATTGAACGATATTGAAATTACACCATGTCCGCAGCTAGTTGCCGAAATTACGCCAAAAGTCTTTACGGTATAAAAATCATGCGATATCGATATCGCAAATTTTAGCCTAAAATGCTTCACTTGGTTGAAAACACATTTTTTAATGTAACAAAATGTAATATATGCATTTTCGATTTCATTTTGAAACTTCAAAATAGGACCATAAGAGAGTAACCTAGACCACCAGGCTGATATTAAATGTGGTAAGCAAAACTACGTACAAAGTCACAATAATTGCAGGTGCATGCGTGGGAACGCAGCACCTAACGAATGAAGAAAGCCTTTATTTACATGCATGCTGTGGTTGAAACTTTGTAGCTACCGGTAAATTGGGTGTTAAACAACATAATCTTCATGAAAACGAATTTTCCGGTTAATATTCGAGCTCGATAATTATGTTAGCTGGGTTTTTTTTGCGCAGCAGGTTTGTTATTTTGTGTTCCAGTATCTTGGTTACCAATTGGAAACTTGATATCTCAGCTTTGCGACATGACCAGGCATTATAATAGCCATAACGAACGCAATCAGCAAACATACGAGCACTGATGTCGTCCAACATTGACTTCAGGCTAAAATTGATGCGAAATGATTTCAGGTTATGATGGTAGAAAAATGTAATACATCTACTAAATTACGTTCAAGCTATCAAATTATCAAATTAATTCTCCGCAAAAAAAAGAAACTAGAAATATGACTGCAGGTATAAAATGGGAGGTTCTTAACAGATGGATGATTTTAGAGTAACAAATATTTTCATGTAGTTAGAATGAAACAGAAGTTTTAGTTTGTATTGAAGGGAGAGTTTTATGGGAAGAGTCGCGACTTCATGTCAGTAGAAAATTCTGATGTCCAGCTATAGGGCTCCTATATGACCGAGATGAATTGATGATGTTTGACAACTGCATAAATGCTAGCCAATCTAAACTACCTTTTCCTGTCTGTTCAAATGTTTGATTTTAAATATCTGAACAGAAAAGAGTGATATGCGAAATTGTCATCAATCGCAACCGTATAGTAGAAACTCTTAATCAGAGCTACCTTTAATAATTGAACATATTTTGAGGAAAAAATCATCATGTAGCCGATTAACTTATTCTATTAAACTTATTATACTTAACTCTACTCGATTAAACTTATTTTAGAATATATACTTAACACTACTCGATTAAACTTATTTTATAATATATACTTAACACTACTCGATTAAACTTATTTTTGAAGTAGAATTAAATTTGTATCTGCTTCTTTTTGGGATTTTCTTAGAGTAATATAAATGTTAAAATGAGCGCAATGTTCTAGAATTACAGTTTCTACCTGCGACAGCATGTAAATTAAATATGAAAAAATCTAATCATAATATGTTATCACTTACTGTCTGCAGAGTGGCAGTTGCTGACAGCTCTGCAGGGCGTCTGTGCAGCTGGCAGCGACAAGCTTAACTTGCTGCAGAGATATAAAAGGGTCCCGCTCTGCAGAGAACATCAGAAAAGTTAAAGGAAAATGATGAGCCTTTATTATCAAGTGATGTTACATAATGAATTGAATCAAAATAATTTTATAACGGGAGAAGTTAACCGGGGATGAGTTCTTAAGGAGAGAAGCCATTTTGCCTCATTTGGTTAAGATCAGAATGATCAGCGAGTTGAGGGTGCGAAACCCATAGTTATTTGTGAGAGTTCTTGGTCGAAATAGGTGAAATGGCTGGGTGGTCAAGCACTGCAAGACCGGAGCAATGAGGTTCAGGTTCGATATCCGCAACTAATTTCAGAAATTACGCTATGTCTAGAATGTGCGACAGGTCACACGTTGGCTTCATTTTAAAAACTTACATTCCATTATTTTAATTATTACTATTATTTCTTTATTATTAGAAAATTTTAGTCTTTCTATTTCTTCTATTGTATTGTAAAATATCGAGTTCCGATTTCAAACTACTACACTTTATCAAAATTTACTAGTCAAGCTCTGTTAGTCGATAAAAAAATTTCTTATTCGATCCTACGTCTTTAATGCTACGGATGGTACAACATTTAGTTAGATCAAAATTAAAATTAAAATTCCAAGTACTCAAAATTACTGAGCCAGGTGATTGCCAAGTGCAGAGCTGGAAAATAACTGGCAAGATTCTAACAGCAAGTTTTATTGCGCTTGTTATGATAAATTTTCATATTAATATTTTTATCTGATCTGGCCTGTTCATCACTCAACTTTTGTATCTTAATTCAAACCACCGTTTGAAGTCAAATAACATTTTACGAATATTCGCTATTTAGGTGAAGGCTGATAGTGGATATCAATTAGTGAAGCCTTCTTCATTAGACAAATTTTACTTT